TGGTACACACACCTTGGCAACAGCTATTTCTGGGAGGACAGCGTATTCGCTAAATGCGCCGACTCCCAGAAGCTGACATAGCGGTTTCCCTCGGGACGTGGACCGTTTTGTACCATCAAGCATCTCACCTCTAATGCGCACTCCCCTAAAGCATTTTAAGCGGCAAATAATTGATTGGTAATTCAGTGAAGATTATAACAGCATCTAACATAATTACATCTTTCAGAAATTTTTGAAGGAAAACTTTCTATGAATTCAGGATAATTGCAAGGAATCGTTGTGAATTTCCGAAACAAAACTCTTGGAGATCAAATGAGCTTGAAACTCCGCTACGGGCTGTTTTTAAAATTGCCTAGCAACCTGGCCGCGTGCCTATGACGTCACACTGCACTTTTATCCAAATTCGCAAAAAGACAGTCTTGACGTAAATAACGCTTGTGTACAATAACAAGAAGGGCCATCAAAAATGGCGGCGCCATACACAGTCGAATACTTGTCACATTTGAACACAAAATTCTAACGATTGGCCTGGGTTCAAAATGCAGAAGATAAAAAATTTTCCGCATACTTTAACCATCAAGTCCTATGAGTGATCAAGACAGAATTTCTCCTTACAGTAACATTACAATATCGAGCAGAAATAGTAATTAGGGGATTATCAGTTGATCCAATACCGGATTCTCTAGGCTATCATCATAGGAATTGTACGGCTGACAGTAAGAAGAATTACTGAAAAGATCTTGCGAGCGAAAGGGTTAATCAGACTGCGTTGCTCTCCCCTCCACCCCCACTGATTGCAGCAATATGCGAACGCATATCGCAGCAATCGCATCTAAAAGGATCTCAATGGTCTGACGGGTTTTTATGGCTGACGGTTAACTTTCTTCTTTAGCGAATAAAATAAAAAAAATTAGGTTAGTTTTTTTTTACGACTAGCGGTTAAAATTTGTCATCTTTTTCCCTCTTAACGCCCAAATTTTTGGTCGTTTCACGGCTAACGGTTACCTCCCCATCGAGGTCATTATTTATAAATTGACTTTGGCAAAGATCGCAAACTTGCTCCCTGTGGGTGGGTTGGTAGAGTATGGTACCGCGAAATCGAAATACTTGTGCCTTGAATCCTCTTGGAGAACTCACATTTTTCTCTATTCTATGGTATGGTATGGTATGGCGCCGTAAGAGAACACATCCAGCCCTTCGCGAAATTCTAACTACAATTACAGATTCATTTTTTTAATCGACGTCTTCCTCGACGTTGCCGTCCTGACTACTTAATTTCCCTCATAATACACAACAAATTTTTCTCCACAAAAAATTCTACCTGACACAAAAATTAGTCCTTGAGTTCTTGCAAAATGCACACTCCCCGCATTGAGCAAGGAGCAGCGGTATCACATGATCACCTGTTAACAAGAGAGGATATTTAGCATTTCAGGCAAATACACCCAAGGTTATTCAGTTTTGAAGGCAAAAAAAGGGACCATCGAAGCGCTTCAAATTGTCTCCTTTGCACAGGCAAATTTTTGTTTGACATTTTTCACGGGAGCGCAAAAAGGTCGCAAGGCGGAAATCACTTGCGAAAATTGACGCTCTCTTCCTCAGGCCCTCGCACCTACTTCCGCTCGCCTGATATAGTCAAAAGAATGACGTTTGTTTTGCAGTTTTAAATTTCTTTCCTAGATATTTATTTTGTTTTGTAGTGTTCTACTGTAAACACGGTCGTGAGAAAACTAGGTACAAGAGTAGCGCATGTCGTACTCGTACTTTCAGGTGAGCACTTGCGAAAATCTTGAAACAATCAGAAATGATCAATTATCCACGGAACTGATGCTCAGGAATCCTTCTGCAGACTGTCATTTAAAACCATTATTCAACTGGCTTCGTTTTCATTTCTCGATGGTACTCAAACCTGTATGTGCATCGTTAGGCAGTTTCTCGAAAGCCACGTGATTGTAGTAACATTTAATATAAATGCAATACCAGGCTTCACTGATCTGACTCCTTCACCAATGCTTTCAATAATCCCACTTGCTTCGTGACCAAACACTCCTGGGAAAACGTCGTCTGAATGTCCCTTCCGGAAATTTTCGTCTGAGTGACATACACCAGCGGCCACGAGCTTGACGCGTACTTCTCCAACGTTAGGTGGAGCCACCTCGATGGTTTCTATGACAAGAGGTGTGTTGGCTTCCCAAGCTACAGCAGCGCGGCATGTAATAGGCTGTAAAAAGCACACAAACATAAACAATCAACAACTAATAGTAACTGAAATGATAGGAAAGTTCGCCTCGTTGTCGACATTTATTTTATAAAGCCACCCTCGGGTAGAAGCAAAATAGCTACTAATATGGAGGAAGACCCTTCTGATAGAGGTTGACGAAAATTTTCCCATCAAATGCCAAAAGTGAACCAGGAAATAGAAGTGATCAAACAAGTTACATTGAAGGACCTTATTATTAGGATCGGCAACAATAACTAACCAGGCAAGCAGAGTGTAGGCCTGTTCCGATTTTACTCGTAAAATACTGGAAAGTTACTGGAATACAGAAATGTTGTTAAAAAGTCGCTACCTAAATTTCAATAGTTGCCACCAAAATTTCTTGATATTTTTATATAAATGGAATGCCATTACGAAAGCCACTGAATACGTAACTTTCGGTTTTTCTTTCCGTATTTTGGTTTTCTTTCCCTTCTGGGAAAGTTTGAATGTAACTGTATGTAAGCCATACGGATTTTCAGTGATTTAGCAGCCATAATACGAGAAAATTCCGACAAACAACCATGAATTGAGAATGGTGAAGGCTTTGCCGTTCATTCATCAACCTGACCAAGTGGCACGAAAGGCGAGTAACGTGTCAGCAGCTGATTGGCGATATCAAAGACGCGTGAAAAGATATCGTATTTTTTCACGTGTGCTGTTACGGTTTTTCTCAGGGCTGGAAATCCTTGTAAAACGCCGTAGTTTATATGATAAAGTGTGTTTCCTAATTACATTTCTAAATGTAAGTTTGAAGATGAAATGAACTAATTACTCATGTCTGATAGTAAAGGTAATAGTCACTGTGTTTGTATTAAAGATTTTAATAGATTAAATTGTTGCCAATCAAAACATCGTGGAGAGAAATTCTTTTGCATGTTTTGTCTTCAGTGTTTTACAACACAAGAAATACTTGATAAACATAAACTTGTTAGTACTTGGATTAACAGGAAACAAACCACTAACTTACCACCACCAAATAGTTTTGTTGAATTTAAGATTTAAAAAGCTGATTGCACCTTTTGTTATTTTTGCATATCTTGCGAGCATTATTATACTATGTGAAGAGCAACACAAAGATAAAACTATGGGCTATACATGTTAAACACAAAAACATAAAATATCTAGTTATGGATATAAAGGTGTTTGTAAATATGATGAAAAATATGCAGAAATTTGTAAGAGTCAAGATTTACAGAGGAGAAAACGCTTTTAACAAATTTCTAGAGGCAATTCTTAAGGAACAAAAGCTTTTAACAAAAATTATGAAAAACAGAAAAAATATTGGAATTATAAAAACAGAAGAAGATAAACCACTTTATGAAAAGACAAATATTTGTCATATATGCTTAAAAGAAATCAATAATAAAAAAGATAAATTCAGGGATCTTTGCAATATTACGGGATTGTAGAGAGGTCTAGCACATGTTAATTCAATTACAAACTTACCAATAAAATCCCTGTTGTTTTTTTTAACTTGCGTGGTTATGATTGTTCTTTTATTATGCAAGAAATTGGTAAATTCAAAGATGTTGAAATAAATTTTATACCATCCAATACTGAGAATATATGAGTTTTACACTAGCAAGGAAATTGCTTTTGAAATGATAATTTACTGAAAGTTTTAATTTTATGGCAGGTTCTCGTGATAATTTAGTCATAAATCTTGAAAAGTTACAATTGAATTGGTCTAAGGATGCACTTTTAACACACAAGGGTAAAAACCCATATAAATATATGGATAGGTTTGAAAGAGTTAATGAAAAGAATTTACTTTAGAAAGATAACTTTCATAGTACATTGGGTGGAAAAATTATTACTGATGAAGAATTCAAATTTGCACTAAATGTTGCTTACTTACTTTACTTATAAGATAGGTGGGGTGACCCGCCTAGGCGGGTTGCCCGGTCTGCCAGGTAGGGTAACCCTGTCAGCCGGGGTGACAATTTTCCATGTAAACGTGTCAAGGTGGGGTAACCCGCCTAGCCGGGGTCGCGTTCATGGCAAAAAGCTCAAAAGCGAAACATGTATGTTTTAAAACTTTTGCACATTTCCCAGCCGTCTCATGGCAGAAATCGCCAGAAACCGCAATGGACACACAAGAAGTGTAAACTGTTCACATTTCAGAATATTTAGCTTTGTAAATCGACCATATTTGGTTTCCCAAACTATTCCTTATAACGTATTAAGTCAACGGTTCCTCGAGAAACCAAACACCGCGTAACACAACGCCTGACGCTTTCATGAATAAATACATGTCTCCGAGAATTAATCTCTCGTCTTTTTCGACACGTGAGCTTGGAACGCCTCTGCTCAAACTCCTTAATTGCAAGCGCAAAAACAACCTCAAGAAACCTCACCTCAGCATCCCGGGGTTGTAAGATTGTATATAAACGCGTTTTATTTTTCGACCACGGCTACGCTGGTTACCTCACCTACCTGGGGTCCCCCACCTCCATGTAAACAGGCTTTTATACGAGCCATTCAGGGAAGAGCTCAATAACCCACGTGCATACACAAGTCTTAAAATAGTGCACTTATTGCGCGCACCGTGATCTGTGTGATCTTGGATCACAAATCCTAATCCGGATCCTCCCAAAGGAACGCACCCTAAAATTTACATCCACTTGCGTATGTGTTACTTGTTGTATTCCCAATGATTACTATTAAAATAAGTTCAACTAACAATCATTTTAGGGACGTTTTTTGTCTAGTTAGTGTTCGGTCGGCTCGATTTACAATAACCTGAAGTAGATGTTAGACACGAAGTTACCACTTACATTGTTATATTTTCTTTCCTTCTTCTCGACCATGTGTCAAATAGATTCTTTTCTCTCTTAAGACGAGCACGGACCATAAAACAGTCTTTTTTTTTAACAGTGCCGTTAAATATAGTCATTTCCTACTTATCACGGATATAAAGGGCTCATAGGCGATTTTTGTTTATAGACAGTATAAGCTCAGGTATGTGGGAAACTTGGAATCGAGCGCTTCCCGCCAAAAGTATGTACCGCAAGTCATTGCTATGTGAATGATAATATGTGTGAACGACGACGTTCAAAGCCTAAAAATCATATTTGTTATTGTGCTTGGTCTGTTGTTTCTTTTTAACGAAAACAACGTTGTAAGCGCCAAAAGCCATTTAAATTAATTTATCAAAACTGCTTTTCACTCTTGACAAAATCGGTATAAAGTGATGAATACTTACTAGACAGCAAAACGCTTTGAGGCGCTAATTAATCGTCTTAGCAGAGAAAAGTTCACGTGCGTGGAACGCGTTATCGGTACTGAGTAATTTATATTATTGTTACTGTGTGGTCCACAATGAAATTCATTTGCTTCGCACACTGAAAAAGGGTTAATTCTACTTTATCATTACTCTCGCGATTCCTTCCGTCAGCGATGACAGAAACGAAAGCGCACTACGAAGTTTTTCAATATCTCCGCGATAACGAGTATCTCATCGATAAAGAAATTCACGTAAGAAAGTCCAACAATTCGTTCTGGAAGATGGTGCGCTGTTTTTCATAGGCCATAAAAACGGTCAGCTTAAAAGATGGGTTCACAGCCGAGACAAGCAGCAGCAGATCACTGAAAGCTTGTCACTTTGACAAACTCGCTGGGCACTTTGGTCGTGACAAGACGAGAGAAAAGGTTTGCACCAGGCGGTGTGCGCACTCCGATTGGGTTGTATTATGGTAGCTTCATTTTCGAAATGATGGTGGAAGCAGCAGAAATCGGCAGATTTTGACTAAACATTCCGTAAAAGTTAGGCCGTTCCTTTTTCCTTTCACCATAGGTTAACGTAATTTGATTTATTCTGAATGTGTAAAAGTATTTTTTTTACGTATTTGTCGCGTGCTAGATGGTTCTCAAGGACAAACGCAATCACAGTGACTGTTTTTTTGTATGTGATTTTAGACCGGATTTCGAGAAGGTCGAACGTGATGTACGTCGCAGTTTGGAGCCTTTTAAAGATTTGGATAGCCGCTTTGATCCCTCTTCAATAGCTTTGACCAAACGCTCTCGAACACTCTCCAACAGTATATGTGTTTTTCCTATTTTTTCGTTTTCAAGTATACTGTCTCTCCTGAAGAATTAACTCGAGAGATACATTTCTCAAAACCTTATTCTAGGTATCCTCTATTCTTTAAGCATATTTGAAACTCTGTACGTTTTTTATTAAATGCCGAGCGTGACGAATTGGTCTTGGGAGGCATAAGGCTTCTTTCGCGAATCCCGTATTTACGCCTTTAAGTGTAGGACATGAAAAATAGTTCGTGTATTAGAAGATCGCTGTCTCTTTGTAATGCGCGTGCATGTCAAGGGTCGATTCCTCGTAACTCGCGAATTTGATATTATTCACACAGCAATCGGCTGCGATTGTAACTGCTGACTACATTGCGCACGGCGACACGCCGGGTAAGCCGGAAAGCAAAACTGAGGCAGTCGATTGTTAAAAGGTGTTGATAGGCTTGGGCGACTCCCGCCATTCGCGTGCGGTTTTAAATCTTCTGACTTTCGTTTGTGATGTGATAATAAGAGTCATTTTTAAGGTGTCATTTCCCCAGCCGGATGAGATTTTGTTACAAAAGATAATATTTTCATGTATGCGCGCTATTTTTTTCTTTTTTTGTTCTCAGGTATACTGTCTCTCCTGAAGAAATAACTCCAGAGATACGTTTCTCAAAACCTTAGTCTAGGTATTCTCTATTCTTTAAGCATCTTTTAAACTCTGTACTTTTTTTAAAATAAATGTTGAGCGTGACGAATTTGGTCCTAGCAGGCGTAAGGCTTCTCCTTTCGCGAATCCCGTATTTACGCCTTTAATATGAAAAATAGTTCGTGAATTAGAAGGTCGCTGCCTCTTTGGAATGCATTTGCACATCAAGGGTCGATTCCCCGTTAATAACTCGCGAATTTGATATTATTTACACAGCAATTGGCTGTGAGTATAACTGCTGCTCTGCGTTGTCTGCAGACCGCCCGCCGTTAATAATCGTTAAAATTAGTAAATAAGATTGAGTTCGTTGTAATGGTCTCCACTTTGTAAAGAAGTAGGTATAAATGTTAATTTGCATTTGAAAATGAGCTGAGAGTTCCATTTATTGTGACAATTTCAATAGTTTGAATGAGATTTAATTTAAAAATATACCTTATCTTTCATATTTATATCGAAAATAGACCATGTACGCTAACTCATTTGCCTTGTCAAAATTTGCATTATTCCTGCAAATCTTTTTCTTTTGATCCAGCTGTGTCTCTCAGTTTTATTTAGAAGGCACGTAGCAATTTCTGGGGTAGAAAGGGACAGAAACACCAGAGAAATTGATCCAGTAAATTGATCAAAAGTTGCGAACTAAATTCTCCCCCTGCTTTTGCATGCATAAATAATATGATCATCAAACCCACAAGAGTGCACAAATTAACATATTGTAACACTCCTTTCCACTCGGAAGCGTCCTCGTCCGAAAATATTCATCAGAGTCACAAATTGAAGCGTACCAACATGCCGGGCCCGTCAGAGACGATCTACGTACGTCTGATAACAACAAACCCTTGACAACCTTAATTGCGAATGAACGCACCGATTGGCGTGTCGTGTTCTCGCAGCGCTAAATTCTCATTCTAAAACACGCACAAACTCGTGGCGCAATTATTTTTTGATATTCTCGGCGCAGTGAAAAAGCCAAACCAATTTCGTTTCTCACCTTTCCAGCTGTTTCTGGCATCGTGTAAGATGGAAGAAATCACTAAACAAATAGGTGTCGGAAAATAAGGCAGCCTTTCAGTGGTGTCACATGACTGAACATAACCGACAATGACCTTTTAGCCTAATGGCGAGCCAAGGAAGACAAAAGAAAATTAATTTCAAAATTATCTATCGAGTTCCAGTGATCGATATGTGACTTTGGGAAATCACTACATGAGAAATTGAAATCACTTTCCAAGAATGAAAAACTTCCATGCGAGATTTCAAATTACCCATCGAGAAGGAAAAAACATTACATAATATTACATTAATAATGGAGAAAAATACTGATGTAACAGTACACCGAGAAATAAATATTAACTGTTGAGAATGAGAAAGTGTTGCGAAAGGCTATGGGCAGAAGTTAATGGAGTCAGCTCAGCACTTTAAAAGGAATGTTTTTTTTCCTTGATCTTGAGAGGAGTGGAACTTTGGACTCACTGGAGTTACACCTGCTGTCTTAGCAATATGTTAATTTTCCTCGGATCAATGCCTCTCTACGTGAGTTTACAAGCCAGTGGAATTATCATGGTATTAGAACAGCAGGCCACCAAACCCCCCCCCCCCCCCCCCGGCAATGTGGTACAATGGATTACTCTCCTGCTCCTGAGGAATCAATTGTCACAAATTGGCAAACATAAGGAATTGATTATGACGGTCCATTATTGATTATGACGGTTTTTGTGCCAGAGTCACACAGCCAGCTTAATTTTGAAAAAGCGATGTAAATCCTTTCCTGACCTGGTGCAAGCATTGGCTTAACGAGCTTATTATGGACTGACATAAGGATTTCTATTCTATATGGCGAGGAAGGGTTTATGCAAACGCCTCCATGATGGTGGTTTCAACTTGTACTTCGCTCATGGCTTTAAAAAATTGACATGCATTGAGAACATGGCCGTGCTCACTCAAAGCCATCCTCTCTCCCTGTCGTGGTACAACATTGACTGTTGGGCCAGCGAGTAAAAACAAATCGTACAAGAATGGAGTGTTTTCTTTCACTTGCGATCTTGACCTATTTGTCCTGCTGGAAGTATCGATTCGTCTCATGTTTATCATTCGTCTAAAATGCGTGGAACTTGCAGAACTTGCATTGTGATTGAGGCTCGAGCTTGGATTATGTTGTTTACCATACGAACGTCCAAAAACACGAAGTACTTTTTTTTGTTCTGAAAACACTCGAACTTCCTCAAGAAGTTGACGTAGTTGCTGTTCAGATTACTGCACTATCTTGCCCGACTCCAGCAATAAGGGTTGTGCCTAAACCCTATTGGCTAGAAGTACGCCTGAGGAGAACTAGTAACGAGTTTTCGAGTCGGGTGATTATCGGAAATTGTCGGCTATTCAAATATGGCGGACAATTCCAGTAGTGCGGTTGTGGGTCGTGCTTTAATCCTACCGGTTCTTTCATGTAATGATGTGTGTGTTATTTTTGAGCCGCATTTTAAACAAAACCTGTCGCCAGGATTGACCTATTACTGCACGCCGCGCAGAAATCCGCCATGTTGGGACGAGAGTAAATTGGCGGCAATTTTTTACTGACCGACGCGGAAAATATTTTATAACTGTTGCGGTCTAGTCCCCAAAAACAACGTGCGTGACAGCCGATCACGTGCGCCCTAACAAAATTCCCATGAATCGCCCGATAATTTATCATTTATCGCACGATAATTCCCATTTATTGCGCGATATTTTTATTTTGTCGCACGATCAATGAGATTTATTACACCCATTTTGAAATCACTGGTGATCCCTGTTATCTGATTCTGACTGGCTCTAATTGGTGCGATTTATTTACGAATCGCACCAACTTTTGCTTCAAATTGCATCTTTTTCTCAGCCAATGAGGAGGCTACACCAAAAACAAAACAACCAATCAGATTCCAAGGCGTGTTTAAAGTAACCGATCAAATTGCAAGAAAATGAAAGACAAAGAGTGTCATGTGGCAAATTTTGCAACTTTTATTTCCAAAACTCTTATTTTTTTCTCCCCCAAAAATGGATGATTTAATTTCAAACCGGCTCAGTACTGCATCAATAAAATATTTGAACTGACCAAGTCCTGTATTTAGGCGATTTCAAAATGGATGTAATAAAGTGGTAATTGAACCTCGTGTCGTGCAATTTTGGTCTGAAATCATACTTGTGATTATTAATCGAACTTGCGCTGCGCGCTCGTTTGATTTTGAAATCACGCATATGATTTCAGCCCAAATTGCACTCCACTCAGTTCAATTACCATTATTTATCGTGCGATGAAAAAAAAATGTAGCATGTCCTTTATGGACCACCGTACTATACTGATTCACAGAGCTATGTGTCGTAGAAGTATCGCAAAGTACTACTAAATGATCTTTTCCCGAAAGTAAAACAAACTATTGTCCTCAAAACATACCTCCCAACTGTTGCCGCCACTGTCGTCCACGGAAACAACGTGCGTGACAGCCGATCACGTGCGACCTAACAAGTTTTTTTCATTATCAATAAATAATGACCAGGTGAAGTTAATTATTCATACACAAGTGGTTTGGTTAACTTAATGATTTGTAAATAAATGTTTTAGAGACAGACTGATTTTTTTTAAATAATCAAAATTGTTTAATTCATTATTTACATATAATAACTTCTTCGGTTAAGACTGTTTATAACTCAGGATGTACCCACATAAATTATTTACATATCATCGGACAAGTTTAGTGTCTTATTTATAAACAATTTTTCTAGCAGTTTCAATTGTTTATTAATAAGGGAAAGAAAATTCGTTATAAATTGATAATAAATTTACAAGCGCCCTATATTAACCTTTCACATCACATTTTTTTTTAATGATAAGTAGGTTGTGTGAAAGGCAGCCAAAGGGCTGATGTGGAATGTATCACGGTGGATGTATCACGGTAGAGGAAAATGATATTTCTTCTAGATGCTAAAGGAGAAAAAGCATATCATATAAAAAATCAGCTCCTGTTCAAAACACTTACAATCAAAAATATCGTTACGACGCTATCACCCAATATTCATCCCTCAGTTCGACGAGTACAAAAGTTTCCCCGTCCCTCCCCTGCCTCCCGTGATTGTTATTAGAGTGTCGTTAGATCCCTTTGAACGTCGGGAAGGAAGACAAAACGTTGTTCTTTCGAATTTGGAGGAAGAAGTGAAGCAGTATGAGTCATTTCTCTACTCAGTATGGCTAAAACAGGTAAGTGATACTCCATTCTTCCCCTTAAATTCTATGTGAGTCAGTTAAAGCTGGTTTTTTGGTTATTCTGTTGTATAGAGGTGTAGAAATGCTTTGAATGTAGCATCACACAATGTTTTGATGCAAACAGCAACAATTAATCCCATGGGTATTGAAACTGTAAGCAAAACTACTTGCAGCCTCTTGTGGTATTCAAGCTTCAAATCGTAGTTAGATCTTTTGGTGTTTAGAAATAGGGTGTTCGTAAGAGACAGGATAATCTAATCTGACCACAAGAAAGGTGCAAAACTTAGGCGAACGAAATACGATTTCTAAATTACGTAGTACGCAAATTTTGTGCTGTGTACTGCATCTCATGTTTATATATAGCTCTATATTGAAGGTTATATTTGGACCTTTAAATCGATATTTCCAATAAATGAAGCAGTATCTCGTTTTGTGCAACAAATTATAGAAAAGAAGGTTAAAAAAAGAAAGTTCATCGGTATAGCAACTGGTTTAAACAATCTAGATCTTCACTCGAATAAATTCACGAGAATGGTAATCGATTGAAAAGAATGATGTTACTTAATACATGCATTACTGAAATCTTGATACGAAGACTTCCAGCACGCCGTGAAACAGTACAAGTAAAAATACACTAATGAGAATCAGTGATAACACCACACAATGTCTTGTCTCCGTTTTGCGGTGTTTTCGTGTTCGAATCAGTATCAACAGTGTATTGAGTTAAAATATCTAAAGTTGAATTCGTTAGATGTGAGGTGTTATTCCATTTTTGTAGTCTTCAGTTTGATTGTTGTAACTATAGGCTTTGAGGTTGATAAATTACTTTTTGGTGAGGCATAAAAAAAGGGATTGACTGAAATGTGGCATCAATGTGGTAAATGAGTATTTTGCATGGTGCTCAAACGATCTGGTGGCATCAGAGTGGGCCTTAAACCATTCGGCAAAATCTAAATCAAAAGAATGCAATTGCAGGTCTTATTTTAAAAACCTAACACAATATAATTTGTTTCCTGGATTTGAATTTTGGATGCATCCTTGCCATTTCCTTTCTGTGTCGCAAAGGTGCAAGGAATTGATCACCAAATTGTCTTCCTGTATCAATGATGTATATTTTTTTTGCAATAAGTGCTAATTATGCAATAGATGACATTGGTGGAGTTACACATGAAGTGATCAGTAATCTTAACAGATCGTTTGGGTCATGATATTTTCTCAACATTCTGAATGAAAGGACAAGTTTTGCATCATGCCTGCATGCATTTGAAAGTTCCAGTTGATCAATAGTTTGTATTTATCTTCTGGCCATAGAGTTGCCCATGTTATGTAGTGCCAGTCTGGAAATCATTTTGAAGTTATTTAAGTTTTTAAGAATGGTTGATTTAACAATATGATTGAGATGTTGAAATGTGAGGGTGAATGGAATTCCATCTGTTTTTTCCTTTTGTGACATTTACTTAAATGCCAGAAACAGGATAGCCACATTTTTCTAAAAGCTGACACATTGTGTCTGATATGTTGAAAAAACCAGATGTGATATCTCAGTCTTTCAGCTGAACATAGAAAACAAAAAACAGATTTTCAAGAGCATTAACTGGATAAACTTGTTAGAAACTGGTCCTGAGCCAGTTAGCTGTACTGACTGACACCTGTTGAGTAGTTTTAGTCTTCCCAGACTTGTGTTTGTGTTATTTCAGGGTAAAACTGCTGATGTTAATCCACTGCAGATCATGACTGACCACAATTTGACCCTGAATGATTTGTTCTTTCTACCCATTTTATTCATTGGCTTCCTTATTCTTGGGGTCTGTTTTGCATTCTGCTGTTATCTTTTGAGGTAAGT